GTTGCAACCCAGCCAGGAAGGCCGAAGAAAAGCAGGATTAAATCAACTGTGAAAATTGCACTTGAGAATAAACGCCCGAGGAAACCACACGCATGTTCTCGATGTAAAGAAGTTGGGCATAATGCAAAAACTTGTCGGAAGTAGTATCGTAGGTATATTGTTGGCATGAATTTTCTCGTTTTTTGGTTATGTGTAGACAATGTTTGTTTTATGTAATCCATATTTCTAGATTATTATGATAACTCAGCCATAACATACATGTAACTCAGCCGTAACGCGACCTTTCGTCTTTCTCCCGTACGATAACTCAGCCGTAACGCGACCTTTCGTCTTCTTTAATATGATAACTCAGCCGTAACATAACTCAGCATACGGAATATACTCATGTTATGTTACAGATAACTCAGTCGTAACGCGACCTTTCGTCTTCGTTTCTCGTACGATAAATAAGCCATTACATTAACCAACGCAACTTTCCGTCTTCTTCCTTTATCTCTCTCATCTGATCCTCCCTTTATATATCAGTTTTCTTTTACCAAAATTTCATTCTTTTTCTCATTCATTTCAACTTTCATCAATATGGAAGACATTCCTCATATGCCAGGACATGTTTTTACAGAGATTAACGCGATTCTTGCCGGACCTGGTCGGGATGATCTTCCCATTCTATACCCTGGTCCGGGTTTATATGATGCTTTCGTTGACAAAAGAACAACGAGATGGAGAGAATACCATTTTGTAATGGGTGATGCGATCGAGCCTATAATTTGTCAGAACTGGCACCACGAGTGGCCGACTTATCGCTTGATTCCCGTCCACTTTAAGATACATTGGTTTAAGATGCTACTGGTAAGCAACACGTTTAAAGCATTTTCATTCATATGGTTATTTTCTCTTCGCATTTTTTCCTTTTATGTAGCGCCAATACAACTGGGATCCAAGGCAAACGTTACTCATTTGGACACACTTTAATAAAGATGCGAGTTGCATTTTCATGTCGAATATGCGTAGGATTAGGAAGTGCTGGATCCGAGGTTACGATAAGCCCGAGTGGTTGAAGCCAATGGTTTGGGAGAAATTTGTCCATATGTTCCAACAACTTGGTATGGACGATATCTGCTTGGACTATTTTTACTGAACTTATACAGTTATTTGCTTTTGAATATTTTCAATGTTGTTTCCTATGTGTTCTCAATTTCTCTGCTTTTTGAATGTTGTTTGTGCTTTCTGAACTTCTTTTGAACTTCTTTGTAATCCCAAACATATATCTTATCTTTTGAATCATGTTTTTATCAATTTTTCTTCATTTTGGCCATTTTAACAGACATATAACTCAGTCGTAATGTTATCAATAACTCAGCCGTAACGGTATCACGTAAATAATAGGTTATTGATAACTCAGCCGTAATGTTATCAAAAACTCAGCCATAACATAGTATAAGTCAGCCATACCTTAAATATGCGTTATGTCAATTTCTTGTTATAACTCAGTCGTAACGGAATCATGTAATTAATAGGTTATTGATAACTCAGCCGTAATGTTATCTATAACTCAGCCATAACGTAGTATAAGTCAGCCATACCCTAAATATGCGTTATCTCACTTTTTAGTTATAATCAAGTTATGAAATCACTTAAATCACATAAATATTAGGTTTAAATATGATACAATCATGTTACCATATTATTCATCAATAATTTAGACTTTGTTGGTAACATTTCGAAAACTATCACACAAGAACAAGTTTCTATTCATAACCAACACTACATAATTTGAATTGGATGAAATTGTGTAAATTTCCCATTTTCTTTTCAAAATTAACAATCTTAACATGCATATTTGCTGGTAATATATATTTATTATATGTCATATCCATTATATACTTATATAATTGCTAATTATAAATTATAACTATACTCTTAACTCAGCCGTAACTTGAACACATTAACTTAGCCATCACATAATTATAAGTC